CTATAGAACATGTAGTGTGGAATTACTGCAGGTAAGTCATATTCCGAGCCAATAGGTATGTTGGTCTCTCGTTTGATCATTTGTTCAAAATATTTGTGCCACTATGGCTGTTGGGAAACTTTAGACGGTTTGTCGCAAGAAGAATCCTGACCAGCTGATGAGTTGATTGTGAAGATGTTCCAGAAACCACGAAAGATTGGGAGCAGTCCAATAATTCATGGAGTTAAACAGTAGATATTATTTCCACTTAGTAGATATGTCCAGATTGAAATTCAGCATTGAATGTTGTCATCGAGCTGTTGCTGTAAAATGAAAAACAAAGAAGAAGCACGAGCAGATGTGGGAAAGGGAATTACCACGCAGACCAGCTTGGAAAAGAGGAAAGTTCCTATACTTTTAGACCTATCCGAACTTTATGTACATTTTCATGCATGTATGTGTGAATAACCACACAGTTTTTCCATTATATGATTCTTGAAACTTTTCTACACGAGTGTATCGTAGTAGCTTTGAGAGGGAACCAGTGTACATAAGTTCATTATAATAAGGAGGGGAACCAGTGCTCACACCGTTGTAAGCAATCGTCAACCCATAAGTGTAGGAGGAATACGAGGGCTGTAATAGCTGTGTTTCATACATTTCGAGGTCCAAGTGTATCTTCATTAGCCAAGGATGCATAGATGGTGACTAATTGAGCGATAGACTTGTCGTTTATTAGCAGCCTATTAAGTGAAGAGCGGAAAAGTGTCAACGAGCTTGCCGTAAGAGTTTCTTCTGGAAACCTGTTCTAAATGTGTGCGAATTTATTGAGGAAGAAATTATCTTGCAACCTCGTCGTACAACACTCAGTTTCAACCAATACTTTGTGGTTGCTCATATCGTACGTAGACGTTACAATTAGCATGATTTGCAGCCCACAAGAGTGCAAGTGCTGATGAAGTAACTTATAATAAAATGTGAGGTTCAGTTTAAGTCTCCTCTTCCAGAGTGGTTCTAACCCCAACATGTTACATCTGGAAGTGTAGTCTAGATTGCGGTCAGTTCCTAATGTTCTGAAGGTGAAGTAACGTTGTACCCCTTCAACCTTCAGTTTGTCACTTCTACGGAGGCCACTGAAGCCACTGAGGCCACTGACTTGCTTCCACATGGATATCACGAAGCTCTAATGAGAAGCCGTGACCTGTGGGGTCAACCAGTCGGAAGTGAAACGGACGCTAACTGAAGAACTTGGGTGACAGTCGCTCTACGTCGTGAACTGACAGAAGTTGGAAATTGTGAACCACTGGGAACCGATCCAGTGGCTGAATGGTTAACGCTTTCGCCGTGAAACCTGAAGGTCCTGAGTTCGACCCCTAGCCACGTTGTGGGTGCGCACTGCTGAGGAGTCCCATACTAGGGCGAAACAGGTGTTCAGTGCTCCCGGTTTCCAATGGTTCCACTACTGATGTCAGTCCATGATGAATACTACTTCTAAATTAAAACTCTCCATTCATCTCAAAAATACATAATTTATTGTCCTTATTCGTATGGGTATCGAGTTTGCTCAGGCATCTCACGTTTCCTCAGTCTTCGAATTCTAGATACAGCAAAGGCCTTGGCCATCCATGGGCTGAAGTGTGACCTTCGTGGGCAAAAGAAGCATATAAAGTCTTTGTCTCTACCTTAGCCTTAACTTAAATTTGGCATCGGTTTGTTTCATTCCTTTTTATTTTTCAATTTCCCCCTTCGTTAGAATAATCTTTGTACCCTTATGTCAGCGTTATCGTTTTATTTTTACATTTGACAGTTTCCGTGTTACTTCATTTGATCTTCGCAGTCGTTACAACTTCGAACAAGACATTTTCAACTTATTCCGGTTAACCTGTTTCAGTCATATTACCTAGTCCTTCGACTGCTTATTAGCTCTACGAAGTTTTCATCACCTTGTAATCTAGATGCACCTTGTAAGTGACTTAAAAAGTCTTGCAAAGACCTTTTTTAGTAATCATTCAGGCCTTATATAATCAACTAGCAACATTATTATCATTACTACTACTATTCCTACTTCAACCTTCCACTATTTGGGTTAAATCTTTCCCGCGGACTGCAGTCTTGAAATACTATATATGTATGACGGACTGATGGGTGATCACTACTGAAATGCTTCAGCTTCAGAATAGAAATAGTGTGTAGATGCTTACCAGAGACTGGAAAAGTATCATTCACGTATCGAAAGTACAACTGTATATTGGCGATTTGATCTTCCAGAGGACCATTTTCCAACTTTGCAGAGAATATATCTGCAAATATTAGACCCAATGGAGATCCCACGCTCACCCCATAAACTTAATAAAGAAACGCTTTTCCCTCGCATTAGTAGTTTGACATGAGAGAAGCCAGTTTGCAGGCATTATCACACTGGCATATGTCGAAAAATCTACAGGACTTTACGAGTCCTGAGTCGTACAGAGGATGTCATTAAACTCTATTAAAACATCAGAAGATCCTGCTAGATATGAAACGAAAGCGAAAATGTCACTTTCCAGAGTATATGGAGTGCTGAAGTTAAGAAATAGTAATTCTTATCCTCATATAATGGATTTAACATGAGAGACATTAGTTTACAAGCATCGTGAAAGTGATAATTCTCGAAAGTTTACAAAATAGTATTTAGTATTAATGATTCACATATCAAGTCACAAGTGTGCATAATTGTATTAAAACTTGCTGCAATTCATAAGACGGGCGTGGTTTTTCATTTCCCATCACATAGATTCGTTTCACTATTAGAACCAAAAGCGCGCAATGTTCGAAGTTTGCTTTCTTGGTCCATCTGCATAGTTTGTTACTTGGTAATATAACCGTCTATTCATCAAATATTCCTCAGTTTTGGCTTTGCTGACCACAAGGACCCCTGTATACTATCTGGAGCATAGGTAAAGTATCCACAATTGTATAACCGAGGGGAGTGTTTAAACCAATGCACTTTCAGGTCACCATGTTGCATTTAAATTCAATTTAGATTAATTCCACCGAGAACGCTTGTTGTAGTGGATGGAAATAGGCGTTGGAATGGTTAATAGTCCGAATGGCAGTATTTATACATAGACTTTGGGTAGCTTTTGCACTAGCATAAGCAGCATCATTCGAGAAGTGTATTCGATGCACAGCAGCTTTCATATGAAAAGATACTTGATACAGGGTACTAGAAACATTTAGTGTGGAGCTACCGTAGGCAAGTCGCGTTCCATGCCACTGGTAAATTGGTGCTTGGCTTAATCATTTTATCGGAATATTTGTGCCACTATACCTGTCATGAAAGTTTTGACGGTGCGTCGTGTGAAGAATCATGACCAGTAGGTGAGTTAATCGTGAAGATGGTCCAGAAACCGCGAAGAGTGGGAGCGGCCCAATAATTATTGGCATCAAACAGCAGGTATTATTTCCACTAAGTAGTTGTGTTCACATTGGAA